TTTCAAAATGACATAGCAGAAGACATACATATTAATGTGGCTTTTCTTAGGAAGAAAATAAAGGAACAAAACTCTTTTCTGCTTTCATTAGTAAGTACCTTGGCAGTTCTTACTGCCAGAAATCAAGAAATTTTTCCTCTGAATGAAAGATTTCTCCTGCTAAAAAGAGTATAGAATTCTTTAAGAAACAGTGAATAGAATGATAGTAACCAGAGGCAGGGAAGGGTGTTGTGGAGGGAGAGGATGAAGAGTGGCTGGTTAATGGGTAAAAAAATACAAGTAAATAGAAGGAATAAGATCTAGTGTTTGATAGCACAATAGGGCAACTGTAGTTAACAGTAATTTACTGTATATTTTTAAATAGCTACAAAAGAAGGTTTGGAATGTTTCCAAAATAAAGAAATGATAAATGTTTGAGATCATGGACATCCCAATTACCCAAGTTTGATCATTACACATTGTATGCTTGTATCAAAGTATCACACGTACCTAATAAATATGTACAACTATTATATATCCATAAAAATTAAAAATAAATTTTAAAAAGAAGAAATGCCTAAAGAATAATCTGGCTCTTTCTTTGGTAGAGAAACAGGAAGAAGAGAAGCAGAGGGAAAGTTGGATGAACTGGTGAACAAATGCTTATGCTCTCAGATTAGATTTCATTCGTGTACTTCAACCAAAACATCAAATCATAACTAAATGCAGAAGCAGAGATGAGAATTCATCTCGTTCTGTTAATCCAGACATTAAAGAGATTTGCAAAAATGCAAAACAGTGCCATTCTCACTAAGTTTTGTTTTGTTTTGTTTTGGGAAGTATACAGTTGCAATTCTTTATCTACAGGTTTCGATGTACAGATTAAACCAAATATGATAAAAAAATTTGAAAAAAATGTTAAAGAATAGGATATAACACTTATTTACATAGTATTTACATTATAGTAGGTATTATATGTAATTAGAGATTTGTGTATAACCTATGCACATTCTCCTATTACACGTAATCTAGAGGTTACGTGTAATAGGAAAATACCCTGCCGTTTTAAGTAAGGGACTTTGAACATCAGCATTATCAAGGTGTCTTGGAGCCAATTTTCTGCAGATACAGAGAAACTACTGCAGTTCTTTTTCCTAAAAATTGTTATTTATGATATATAGTAGATTTATTATTTTTGAATAAATTAATACATTTTAGATTTTTCTCAGTCTTTCTAATGTGATATCATATCTAATATCAGTAGATATGGTCCAACAATTGAAAGTTCTTTGGGGTCTTCGATAATCTGTTTGATTGTAAAGGAGTTCCTCAAAAAGTTTGAGACCTGCTGTGGTAGGGTCATTTAGAGAGGAATTGAAGTTTTGGTTCCTAGCACTTTTCTTACTGTTCCTTCCCTATCAAGTAACTTAAAAGAGCTTTCATTTCTAAGTCATCACTTTGTCATCTTACTCTCCCTGCTTCCTCTTTCTTATTTCTTTCAATAAATGTCCCTGAAGGATTGGGTAGTATTTCATAGTTCAGTTACTTGGGAAGCATACTATTCATATAAACTAATTGTACAATATGCCTTTTCTGTTCCTTTAATAATGTTGGTAAATGAAACCTTTGCCAGATGCCAGCTTTTCCTTCACTGGATTGTGATTTTTTTTTGACATCTATAATTATGCATCAAGTTGTCCCCAGTAGGGGATCCCTCATTTCCTTGCTGACATGTCCTCATTACTACAAGCAGTATTGAAGCAGGACTAAAGATGTAGGCATTCTTTATGATAGGTCTGATGAATATATTCTTGTTTCAGAAGAGTATTTAGAAGGGCTGCTTTTTGTAATGTCAGAGTATTAAAAAAAATTTTTTTAATGTTTCTCATCTGTGGCCTCTCTGCCAATAACCTCTTATGAGCTCTGACCACATAGTATTTTGTAGTTTTCTAAATTTTGATCCATATTTAGGATTATTTATAAGTTCTAGTGTTGTCATTACAAAAGTTTCTTTGTATTATTATATTATGTCTTAAGTTTCAGAACTTACATAGTTTTTTTTTTTTTTTTCATTTATCTTGCTTACATGAACTCTGTGATGTGGCATTCAGATCAGTCACACATAGACAACTCTCTGAAGTATATATTAAGTGGCAGAAACACTCCCAGCTTCTCAAGGACAGTGATTTTAGTTTTCAGGAGCCTATCATGGCTCTACGCACAGTCATTTTGGAGATCCTGATGGAAAAGGAAATAGACAACTCACAAAGAGAGTGTATTAAGGAGATTCTCACCAAACACCTTGTAGAACTCTCTATACTGGCCAGAACTTTCAAGAACACTCAGGTAAATATAATTTAAAACTATGTCATCTTACCTCTTGACCTTCCTTTTATTATTTAAAACACAGAAAGCCTGAATGAAAAAGAAATGTCATTAGGAGATAGTGATCTCTATTAATATATAGTAAAGATAGTTGTTTAAGAGTTCCCATTTTGGAATTAGATCTGACTTTAAGCCTTGGGCAAGGTACTTAATCTTTTCTCAACATCAATTTCCTGGTTATGAAATAAGATACCTAATATACTATATTGATAACAATTCGGTGATTTTATATACTGTGTGTATAGACACACAGATACACATACATATATATATAGAGAGAGAGACAGACGGACAGATAGGCATACGTGGGGTTGGGGAAATGTCATGGAGACAGAGAGGTACTTAAGATAGCCCCTGACAAGTAGTTAAGTCCTCAATGAATGGTAGTTACTGCTTTCATTATTACTATTATTGACGGTGGTAGTAGTAATAGTAGAAGTATTTACTCCCATATGTCATTTTCATTTCAGCTCCCTGAAAGGGCAATATTTCAAATTAAACAGTATAATTCAGTTAGCTGTGGAGTCTCTGAGTGGCAGCTGGAAGAAGCACAAGTATTCTGGGCAAAAAAGGAGCAGAGTCTTGCCCTGAGTATTCTCAAGCAAATGATCAAGAAGTTGGATGCCAGCTGTGCAGCGGTTTGTTTTTTTATTGGCTGGATTAGTGTTTTACTGTTATTTAAAAAACACAAATGTGCTTTAAAATAGTTTTAATAACAATTTTATTAGAGCCTTGAAATTACTAATTTATGAACAAGATATTGTAAAACTGGTCTTGAAAATTAATTTGTAAAAGAAGTTTAGAAACTTTTTCTTATATATAACAATTCTATCAGCCCGTCATGTGGTAGATTCATTTAATGTTTCCCAGTATTAAGCCTTTAACTTTCTACAGAATTCAAGAAAGATATGTGGGAAATGAATGAAATAGCTACTCTGAATTTGAAAAGGCAAGTGAAAAAAGGGAAGAGAAAATGAATGAAAGAACTAAATTACAAAATAAAAGCAAGTTGGGACAGTTAGGTTGTCAATCCAAATGCTTTGAAAATATCACATCTAATATTTTATCTAATATTACCTGTTAGTTTTTGCAAACTTATGTTGCTACTTCAGCTATAAATCCGGCATACACACTGGATAAAGTAGAGACATTGGTGTCCCCAACGTTTGTCTACGGTGGTGTCCCACAGACATGTTCCTGCTTAGTGAATATCAGCTTACTGTGCTTTATTATTTATTTATTTATTTATATTTGAGACGGAGTCTTGCTCTGTCACCCAGGCTAGAATGCAGTGGCATGACCTCAGCTCACTGCAACTTCCACCTCCCTGGTTCAAGCAATTCCCCTGCCTCAGCCTCCCGAGTAACTGGGATTACAGGTACATGCCACCATGCCCAGCTAATTTTTTCGTATTTTTAGTGGAGATGGGGTTTCATCACGTTGGCCAGACTGGTCTGAACTCCTGAGCTCAGGCAGTCTACCCGCCTTGGCCTCCTAAAGTGCTGGGATTACAGACGTGAGCCACCACACCTGGCCTTTACTGTACTTTTTGATGTTGGGCACTCATTGTATAGCATCTTCTGTTATTAGAGAAATCATTATACCAAAGCACTGAATGCCAATATGATATGTGTAAATATTGCTTAATAGTATTTGCCCTGAAGTATGTGCTGTCTGGAGTTACCCAACTTCCTCGTACCTCAGTTTTCTAATCTGCAAATTGGGGGTAATAATAGTTCTAATTTAATAGGATTCTTGTGAGAATTAGATGAGTTAATATATATAAAGCCTTTACAAAGTGTAGGGCATATGTAAGTGCTCAATAAATGTGACTTGCTCCAATAATGGCAATAATAATAATAAAGAGAGGATGATCGTTTCCTACATGGGATTATGAAAATAGTTGTATGGCAAAAGCAGATGAGGAAAAATTTTTTTTCCCCCACCCACCGAGGAAAAACATTTTTAACCTGCTTTTTTCCCCTTACATGAAGGACAGTTGGGTACAGTCATGGTAATGTATTTTAAGATTTTGCCTTTCTTGTACAGAACAATCCCAGCCTAAAACTTATATACACAGAATGTCTAAGGGTTTGTGGCAACTGGTTAGCAGAAACTTGCTTAGAAAATCCTGCGGTCATCATGCAGACCTATCTAGAAAAGGTAAGATTTTTGGAGCAACCCTTAAGATAGTTACTTAGCATGAATATGCTTCATCTTTTCATCAAGATCAATATATTTCAAAAGCAAATAAAAGTATGGTTTTATTTTTCTATATATTATTACTGCTGTAGCTCTGTATAGTCTCTAGAGTGGAGTGAAACAGAAATGAAGCAGCCGATTTTGAAAGTAGGCCCAAGTATAGTATCTCTTCTTCCTCCTTCCTGCCTCCACTACCAGCTACCCTTTCAGCAGGTGGTTTCTGATAATTTCTTCATTTATTCATCTACAAAAATAACTGATTAAGGAATAGGCAAGTCAGCCTTTGCTCTTCATTAGCCTAGCCACCCACAAGTAAAGGCTTCAGTACACTAGCTCCCTTTGACTTTCCTGTTTCTTCCTCATTCCTTTAGAGTCACTAATTTTGGAAATAGTTACCTCACTAAATAAGTGTAACATGAAACACATGATGTGATTGTCTTTATTTATTTTTTATTTTTTTTGAGATGAAGTCCTGCTCTGTTGCCCAGGCTGGAGTACAGTGGCGCAATCTTGACTCACTGCAACCTCCACCTCCCAGGTTCAAGTGATTCTCCTGCCTTAGCTTCCCAAGTAGCTGGGACTATAGGAGTGTGCCACCACACCCGGCTAATTTTTTGTATTTTTAGTAGAGATGGAGTTTCTCCATGTTGGCCAGGCTAGTCTCGAACTCCTGACCTCAAGTGATCCACCCTCCTTGGCCTCCCAAAGTGCTGGCATTACAGGTGTGAGCCACCACACCCAGCCTGATTGTCTTTAAATTTTATAAAGTTATTTGTTTTTGCAGAGTTTTTTACGAGTATTAGCTGTTTGGGTTATTTCTACACTGTCAAAGTTGTTTTGAAAAGTCAAGAAAATACTATAGTTCAGGGCTGTCCAATCTTTTGGCTTCCCTGGGCCACACTGCAAAAAGAATTGCCTTGGGCCACACATAAAATATGCTAACATTAATGATAGCTAATGAGCTTTAAAAAAAAATCACAAAAGAAATCTCATAATGTTTTAAGAAAATGTACGAATTTGTGTTAGGCCACATGCGGCCCATGGGCCACGGCTTGGACAAGCTTGCAATAGTTCATATAATTTAGCTAGCTTTTACATGTATATAAGTTAAACTTTAGTGTATTACCTTAATTCGAGTGATTCTTTAGATGTATTTAGTATTTGTAAATATAATTTAAATTGGTTGTGTTTTGTTGAAGGCAGTAGAAGTTGCTGGCAATTATGATGGAGAAAGTAATGATGAGCTAAGAAATGGAAAAATGAAGGCATTTCTGTCATTAGCCCGGTTTTCAGATACTCAGTACCAAAGAATTGAAAACTACATGAAATCATCAGAATTTGAAAACAAGCAAGCTCTCCTGAAAAGAGCCAAAGAGGAAGTAGGTCTCCTTAGGGAACATAAAATTCAGACCAACAGGTAACTAGGTTTCTACAAGTGACAATTTTATGTTCACCAGTTAACTGAGTGAATGTTTTTGCATAGAAAGAGTGACTTGGTCTTTTTATGTGATATAGTTGTGAGCACTAAAGGTTGGCTTAACTATATATAGATTATCTTGGTCTTCTGGGTTCTTTTCGTTTTTTGTTTTTTGGGTTTTTTTTGAGACAAGGTCTCACTCTGTCACCCAGGCTAGAGTACAGTGGTGTGATCACTGTCCTCCAGCTCACTGCAGCCTCGACCTCCTGGGCTCAAATAATTCTCCCCATCAGCCCCACAGGTAGCTGGGGCTACAGGTGCATGCCATACCTGGCTAATTTTTGTATTTTTTGCAGAGATGGGGTTTTTTGCCATGTTGCCCCGGCTGGTCTCAAACTCCTGGGCTCAAACGATCTGCCCACCTTGGCCTCCCAAAGTTCTGGGATTACAGGTGTGAGGCATTGTGCCCTGTCTGCCTTGGTCCTACTGTAGTTAATTGCAAATTAGTATGTAAGACATTGACATGTGTTCTTTCGTAAATAATTCATGCTCTGCTTCTAAATTCATTGTAGAGAATATAGATATTAGCTTTCTGTTTTTTTGCTTTTTTGGTTTGTTGGTATTGTAGTGGAAAAGGAGATAGATATTGAAATTAATTACAAAAGTTAACTATTTTGATGTAATTAAATCCCTTTATTTAAGCCTGTCTTGAATCTGTATATTTTAGTGTAAGTAGAGGTTTAAGTTAGCTAAATAGCTTGGGGAGAGTCCCCTTTGTCCTTCGATGCCTGGGTGTGTGAATTGCACAGTTAAGACAAAAGTAAGTTTATTCCCTTTATAATCCTTAGAAGTTTGCTTTTTTCCCTGGGATAAAAACCCAATTTTTTTCATTTATGTTGTATATCACGTGTGTGATTTTGTAGTTCTGTTAAAGTTTATGCCTTTTGTGTTTTACCTTAATTATTCTATGCAAGATACACAGTAAAAGTTCAGCGAGAGCTGGAGTTGGATGAACTTGCCCTGCGTGCATTGAAAGAGGATCGTAAACGCTTCTTATGTAAAGCAGTTGAAAATTACGTCAACTGCTTATTAAGTGGAGAAGAACATGATATGTGGGTATTCCGACTTTGTTCCCTCTGGCTTGAAAATTCTGGAGTTTCTGAAGTCAATGGCATGATGAAGGCAAGTGTTATTCAGCCCAATATTCTACCCTGTGCTTGAAAAACTTAGATGTTAGCCCCTTGATGTCAGGGATTTTGTATACCTCTTTGTATTCGTAGCACTTCATCTAGTACTCTACACATGAGTAGCATTTTGTAGTTTTCTAAACTTTGATCCGTATTTAGAATTATTTACAAGTTCTAGTCTTGTTTCTACAAAAGTTCCTTTGTATTATAATATTATATAAGCTGACAAGCTCTAAATGATGCAAGTTTGTGTGGAGGTGAGAGAATTTAGCTTGGTCCTATGTCTTTGCAGTTACCATAGGAGAGTGTCTAGAATGGGGCATTAGATTGGATGATTTAGAAAGCAATTAAAGATGATGTGATCACAGGCAGGTTTTCCCCCTGCTGCAAAAATCTGGGATTTTTTCAATAAATTACTTTTGTAAGTAGAGAAAATACATTTTTAAGAAAATGTCAAGACAGCAGTATTGTATAAGTTTGTCTTTGAAAATCTTAGATTATAGTCGTGACACCTAATATTAAATTTATGTTGACAAGATATATATTGTTAGTCAATTTGAAGGTTAGAGATAAAATGTTTCTCCTGCAGTAAAAGAATAAGACTCTTAATAGATACAGTCCATCTCTGCTGTAGTATACACTAAATATTACTTTTGGCCTATGGGGAAAAGCAGTTACTTCATTTTATTGTACACTGACTTCTCAGGAATCAAGATCACAGTCACACTCAGATCACATTTGTCTTCCTTAGACTTTTTGGAATATAAGCAGTACCAAGTATTCCAGTTCCAAATCCAGTTTAATTTAGGACCAAATATTTTGATTTACCAATGCATTAATCTAGAGTACCCATTAGAAAGACCTTCAGATAAGATAAGAAATGAAGGAAAAAAATATAGTTAATGAAGTTTTGTTAACCACTTGCTTGTGCTAATAGAGGAGCACTGTCTTAAAATAATTTATTTGCTTAGATGTGAGAATATTTGAGATACCTTGTTTATTAATTTTGTGTCTTTTTTTAATGGTAGAGAGATGGAATGAAGATTCCATCATATAAATTTTTGCCTCTTATGTACCAACTGGCTGCTAGAATGGGGACCAAGATGATGGGAGGCCTAGGATTTCATGAAGTCCTCAATAATGTAAGTAAACCTGAAAATCAAACCACAATAATTATTTTCTATTATTACTATATATTATATAAAGTATGTATACCATTCCCTCTAAGAAATGGAAATACAAAATGTTATATTTTGTCTCTTCTCACATCACATAAGTTACTCATTTTCTCTAATTCTTCATAGGCCTCTGCCTTTTTCTCACACATGCAGACATACATGCTCTACCCACTGCAGTATCTAGACAGTAATACACATTTTAATGTCAACCAAAATAAAAAATATGGATTATAATTTTTTTGTCTATTTGCATAAATCTAATAGTTCTTAATTTTCTTACAGCTAATCTCTAGAATTTCAATGGATCACCCCCATCATACTTTATTTATTATACTGGCCTTAGCAAATGCAAACAGAGATGAATTTCTGACTAAACCAGAGGTAGCAAGAAGAAGTAGAATAACTAAAAATGCGCCTAAACAAAGCTCTCAGCTTGATGAGGTATTTGGATTAAACATATATACCTTTTAGAAGTGTGATATTCAGTCTTTCCTAGAATATTTATTTTTAAAATCTTGTGTTATTATGATGCCATCTAAATTTGGTTCAAGGCTGGCACGGTGGCTCACACCTGTAATCCCAGCACTTTGGGAAGCTGAGTCGGGTCGATCACTTGAGGTCAGGAGTTTGAGACTATCCTGGCTGACGGACACGCGAAACCCTGTCTCTACTAAAAATACAAAAATTAGCTGGGCATGATGGTGGGCACCTGTAATCCCAGCTACTCGGGATGCTGAGACAGGAGAATAGCTTGAACTCGTGAGGCAGAGGTTGCAGTGAGCCAAGATTGCGCCATTGCACTCCAGCCTGGGCAACAAGAGTGAAACTCTGTCTCTAATTAATTAATTAATTACTTAATTAAAATTGGTTCAAAATTCGTTAATGTTTGTCAAAGCATAGGAGATACCAGTAGTATTTTACTTTTTTCCTCACAGCAGCTGGCAAAGGGAAACAGTAGATTTTTGAAAGGCACCTAAGTCATTGATGAGAGTATGTATTTTTGATGTATTTCATTTATGGCTGTTTTGTTTGTATCTGAGGAATTATAATCATTCCATTGTCTAGATTTGTGCATAAATTCTGTTTTTGTTTTTCTAACTCTGAGAATTTTAAATGTTGGGTAGTTCCTTATGTAATGTTTTTTATTTGTTTTTTATTAATAGGATCGAACAGAGGCTGCAAACAGAATAATATGTACTATCAGAAGTAGGAGACCTCAGATGGTCAGAAGTGTTGAGGCACTTTGTGATGCTTATATTATATTAGCAAACTTAGATGCCACTCAGTGGAAGACTCAGAGAAGTATGTGTTTCAAAGAAGGAACATTACTTTCTTGCTGTGTTACTCTCTGTAGACATATATTAATCATAGAACCTAATAAGTAAATCTGCTTAAAATCACAAACATAATCCAAAAGCTTAATTTATAATTTATATCTGATAGCTTCAACATTCCCTGGTTGCTTTTTTACTTAATATCTCTTGGGAGAACTGATAATAGGTTACTACACTAAATTAATTATTTAATCTTCTGGCGTACTTATTACGGAGAATTGCATAGAGGCAAGTCTATTCAAATAATTGAATAACTGAACATTTCTAGAGTCAAAAGTTTTTTTAAATGATGTGGTTACTAAAACGGTGCCCTGGGACTTAAAAACAAAAAGCCTTTACCATTTCTTCATAGGTGCTAAAATGCCATTATTTAATTATTCTTCTTACTGTGTCAGTTCAGATAATTATAAGCTGTTATAATCTTTGGTTTTGTGACTAGTCTCTAAGTATGCTTCTAAGTATCTCCCCGTACTTTAATAATTGCATTTTTTTTTTCTATTCAGAATCATATCTTCAAGTTTAAATTCTTATTACTTTAAAACACGAATGGGGCTTCACATATTGTTTCTCTAAGCAAACAAAAAGGATTGACATGTCTTTTAGTTGCATTTAATAGTAATGTGACAGGAGTATGTTATCTATGTACTATGCAAACTATTACGTAAGTATTTTAAGATGCTTAGTCTGGTTCCTCAGGTGGAATCTGGTCTAGTTACCCCTGTCAGGTAACCTGCAAATTTACTTAAAGCTACATTAGCCACTGTTGAGCTTTGACCCTGAGCTGCACAGTGGCCAAAGCCTAGTCTTCATTTCTCAATCACAGCCTGAACCACAGATGAGCAACAAGTTGGGGCCAGTGGTGTCTGCTGACTATTCCTGCTTGACCTTCAATGCTGTTCCTCAGTTTGTCACTAAAATCTCTTCATTTTTCAATACAGAAGGCATAAATATTCCAGCAGACCAGCCAATTACTAAACTTAAGAATTTAGAAGATGTTGTTGTCCCTACTATGGAAATTAAGGTAATTTACAATTAACTCTTGATTTTTTTTAAACTAAATTTTTTTTATTAGATTGAACCATTTGAAATAGTATTTTTATGTAAGTCAGAATTGGTTAAATATTGGTAAATTTCATGTGTTTCAACCTATAATTTCTCAGTATTATATTTCCTTTGCTCAAGCCCTAAAACACTCAAAAGCTTCTCTTGCTTTCTTTTCCGTTGCCTTCAGGTTCTACACCTCCCATCTTTCTTATGAAGGTCTATAGACTGTTACTTTCATTGGCCAGAAGGAGAGTTTCTGTGTGCTTATGCCAAGATTAATTTTTGACTTGGCAAGGAAGGTTCCAATTGTCATATATTGTTCTTAAAAATTCTATGTGCAGTAAAATGTATTGGCTGTGATATATCACAGTATTAAGTAATATAGTACCTATTATTATAATATTAAGTTGACTTCATATGCATAATACACTTAGCTGTGTTCTAATGTTCTTTCATTGCAAGAAATAATGGAAGTAATTTCATGTGGGCAGGGATATATGTAATAATAAGTGTTATAAGTTTAGAAAATGATCATCTTAAATACATTGTCTTTTCATTTTGCAGTTTAGTACTATCTAGTTACTTGATTTGAAATGTAGCTGTATCATGTGGATTGACTGCTATTTTTCTAGCTATATCGGCTAAGTGATTTAGCTGAATATTTCCTTAAAATGCCAGATTTAGCAGTTACAACCCAGAAAACTCCTACTCTTTTCCAAAATTTACTTTATGTTTTTGTGAGGAGTTATTTCTCAGATGACTTTAGGTATATTAGTGAATCTCTGATTAAACAGTAGTTAAAGTTACAGGCGAGAGCCACTATACCCATCCTATAGTTGCAGTTCTTAACCAATATCACATTGTCATTTGTTCCTCTGTTTAATATTAAAATTGCCATTTATAATGTATTTTTCTTTAAGTGCAAACAGTGTATCTGACCTATTATCAATCATGTTTATGCCTTTATTAGGTGGACCACACAGGAGAATATGGAAATCTCGTGACTATACAGTCATTTAAAGCAGAATTTCGCTTAGCAGGAGGTGTAAATTTACCAAAAATAATAGATTGTGTAGGTTCTGATGGCAAGGAGAGGAGACAGCTTGTTAAGGTGAGCCATCCCTTCTCTGGCTTAGCCCTTAGAGTTTTAATGATGAAAAATTTTAGTTGATATCTTCTTTCTGCTTTATTTGGGTTTTTGTCTTTATTTTGAATAATTGCAAATGAGGAAGATTTGTAGAGTAGAAATGCATTACTTTCTAGAACCAGGCTTTTCTCCATTTTTTTTTTTTTTGTGTGTGTGTGTGTGTGTCTCTCTGAAAGACCATCATTATTATATGGTTGATTCAAGTAAAAGAATACCATTAAGATGTACAAACATGTACAGTGAGCTTGCTTCTTGTGAAAAAAATACTTTGGTGTCTGTCTCTTATCTCCTTGAATAGTACAAGTTGACGTCCTTTGTGTCAGTATACTGGGTCTGGTACTGTTCCAAGGGCTATTTAATGTACGAAAAAGGGAGAGCATTCTTCCCTTACCATTTGCTCACGAGCTCTTTGGGTCCTACTGGGGAGTGGTGGAAAGACACAGTGCTGTTTTACTCAGGTGTTTGCAGTATGCCTTCCTACGAGGGACTTCCAGTTAATCTAATTACAGAAGTAGCGAGGGGAACCTTCTTTTTCTAAATCAGTGTAAATGTTGTAGCTTATTCTAAATGAAAGAATGGCAGTATATCTTTAATTATTTGGGAGACTGTCAAGAGGTGCACAGATGCTCAGATTTGTTTCTGAGTGCCCTTTGCTATTCTCAGATGGCTCCGTGTTTTTATAATAAAATAAACTGTACTTGTTTATTCATGTTTAATTATTCTGAAGGGCCGTGATGACCTGAGACAAGATGCTGTCATGCAACAGGTCTTCCAGATGTGTAATACATTACTGCAGAGAAACACTGAAACTAGGAAGAGGAAATTAACTATCTGTACTTATAAGGTAACTATTTGTACTTCTGTTATTTCACCAGAAACATATAAAAGATGCCATTTGGCTGGGTGAAGTGGCTCATGCCTATATTCCTAATGCTTTGGGAGGCCAAGATGGGAGGATCGCTTGAGGCCAGGAGTTCGAGACCAGCCTCGGCAACATAGTGAGACCCCATCTTGACAAAAAGTAAAAAAAAACAAAGCCAGGCGTGATGGCATGTGCTTGTAGTCCCTTAGCTACTTGGGAGGCTGAGGTGGGAGGATCACCTTGAGTCCAGGAGTTTGAAGCTGCAGTGAGCTCAGGCTTGGCAGTGAGCCCCCAGCCTGAGCAACACAGCAAGATCCTGTTTAAAAAAGAAGAAGAAGAAGAAGATGCCATTATTTGGACCAGGAGTCTACAAATGTTTTCTGTGAAGGACCAAATAATAAAGATTTATTTTCTTTTAAAAAGTCTTTATTACTGTTAATTATAGTTAGGTTTATAGTCAGGTATTTTTTCCTTTTTTTTCTACTCAACAATATGTCACAGAAATCTTTCTCCTTTTTTAACAGCTGCATTGTGTGTATGTATGTAGTTTTTTATACAAGTCCTTATCAATGGGCATTTGGGTTGTTTTCAGTCTTTTGCTGGTACAAACAATGCTGTATTACAGTGAATAACCTTGAACATACAAATTTCATACATGTGCAGGCAAATCAGTAGCATGGATTTCCAAAAGTTGGATTGCTGGGTTAGAGGATACATGCACCTGTAATCTGGTACATATTGCCAAATTACTCTCAATGGGGGTGTACCCACTTACATTTCCTCTAGCTATTTGCCTGAGAAGACAGTCCTCAGTCACATTCTATTAGCTGATCATCTTTGACTCATATTAATTATTCATTTAACCGTTTAGAAATAACAATAAATCCTTAATTTAAAGGGCCTATTTTCCATAGGTTTGTCTTTTGTGATTTCATTCATGTACCTCATTTTAAAACTTTCCACTTCTATAAATGTTGTAACAGGGACTATGGTTGACACCTGCTTTTTTATATATTTCTAGTTTTCTACTATGAATGTGTTTTATTTTTAAAATAATGGCTAAATTAAAAGCCCTAAATAGGGGAGTGGAGAAGAATAAATTAGATCTACCCTCCAAAATTCTGCTTGAGCTAGGCTATTGTAATAAAAAGCAGAACTTGGTTTTGAGCTTCTTAACTGCTTTCAGAGACAATATAAAACTTACTGGTTGGGAGAGGGGCATACTGTTCATTAAGGAAAGCACAATTTTTTTCCTTAGCCTTCAAGTTTGTGAGAAATTTGTGACATGGAACTTTCTGTAATAATAACTAACATAATAGATGCTTTCCATTAGCAGTTTAAAAAGCTAATTAATCCTCGATGAATGCAGAAAGCAAAAGTTGCTCTATAAAAGTTACTCTGTACAGGGATTCTGTTTTTTTTTTGGGACGGAGTCTCGCTCTGTCGCCCAGGCTGGAGTGCAGTGGCGGGATCTCAGCTCACTGCAAGCTCCGCCTCCTGGGTTCACGCCATTCTCCTGCCTCAGCCTCCCGAGTAGCTGGGACTACAGGCGCCTGCCACCTCGCCGGGCTAGTTTTTTTGTATTTTTTTAGTTCACACGGGGTTTCACCGTGTTAGCCAGGATGGTCTCGATCTCCTGACCTCGTGATCCCAGCGTCTCAGCTTCCCAAAGCGCTGGGATTACAGGCTTGAGCCACCACACCCGGCCTGTACAGGAATTCTTTGATGTGGTTAAGATCACTGGTACTCGAGCTTTAGCAGACATCACAGTCACTTGGAGAGTTTGTGAAAACACAGATTCCTGAGCCCCATTCTTAGAATTTCCCATTCAGCAAGATTAGGGTGGAACCTGTGAATGTGTGTTTCTAGCAAGATACCAGTGATGTTGATGCTGCACTGGTCCAGGGACAACACTTCGAGACCCACCAGTCTAGTTGTTCTACCACCTATTGACCTGTCCTAATTTTAGAACAAAGCTGATGATGTATTAGCTATCTCCTATCTGACAGATAATGTAGAGATTGCTAAGAAATTTTTAGAGAGTAGATTTTCCTGTAATGTGAATGAAAAGAAATTTTTTTATGCTCTAAATGCCAGACTTTTAGATTGCAAAGATAATGACTGAAGAATTGGGTTACAAAAGTATGGGCTATAGGAGCACCTCCTGAACTCTCAGAAAGTAGCTAAGATTTCCAATCAGGTACACAATTGAACCTCCAAAGTTCATTGCTGTAAAGTACAAAAAAGCCAATGCCTGACCTAGAATATCTTGAAGGCAGGAATTACTAAACTTTCATCTCTACCTTATGACTTTTTCAACAGCTAGTTTTCACACAAAACTATTTTACCATATAAATTATTCCATTAAGATTTCTAGCCGGGCATGGTGGCCCACACCTGTAATCCCAGTACTTCAGGAGGCCGAGGTGGGTGGATCACTTCAGGCCAGGAGTTTGAGACCAGCCTGGTGAACATGGCCAAACCCCATCTCTACTAAAAATACAAAAAAATTAGCCAGGCATGGTGGCACATGCCTCTAGTCTCAGCTACTCGGGAGGCTGAGGTGAGAGAATCACTTCAACCGGACGGCAGAGATTGCAGTGAGCCGAGGTTGTACCACTGCACTCCAGCCTAGGTGACAGACCGAGACTTCGTCTTAAGAAAAGAAAAATGTCTAGAGGCCAGATGCAGTGGGTCACGCCTGTAATCTCAGCACTTTGAGAGGCCAAGGCAGTAGGATCACTTGAGGCCAGTAGTTTGAAACCAACCTGGGCAACATAGCAAGACCTCATCTCTACAAAAAATTAAAAATGTAGCTGGCCATGGTAGCATGCACCTATAGTCCTAGCTACTCAAGAAGCTAAAGCGGGAGGATTGCTTGAAATCAGGAGTTTGGGGCTGTACATGAGCTGTGATCATGCCACTGCAGTTCAGTCTGGGCAGCAGAGTAAGACCTTGTCTTAAACCAAAAAAGGGGGGGGAGTAACCCAGGTAATTAATTGAGTATTTAATGTTATACATCTCAATGTTAAAGTATAACCTCTAAACGCAACAGTTTAGGTTTCACTATTTCTTAGAATTACAACAATAAGCCAATTATGTTATTCTGTGATTACTCCCAGAATGTGAAAGTTGTGTCATCATTATGTTAAACTAACTGTTCTTGCCTTTAGTTGAAGTTCCCTAGACTACAGCGAAGTAGTCTACCCAGTCCAGTCATCTGTAGAGTCATTCCCAATCCTGAGATTCAGGTCTTCTGTGGTCATTGTGTCACCAAGAGCAAACATTGACTACCTGGAACTAAATCTTGGTATACAAACCTTGTGCTATTGTGCAACCTCAAAAGGAGAGACTTGTATATTGAGGCATGCCAGATATGTCTTGTCAGAGAATCAGATGGAAATGAAGACAGTTCTTATTGTATATGTTGATAACTCAGACATACCCTTAACATTAACCAGAATTAGGGTGGCTGACCCCATTTTTCTCCACCAAAACTATGCATTGTTACAAAGTATACTGAACAAGCCTAAAATCTTAGGTGTCAGAGGATTTGTTTTCTAAAAGGCAAGTCTCCAATATGTAAGTGCTGAAAGGAGCTTTGTATTTAACCTGATCATCCTGCCTTGTGCCAATAAATAATTTTTATTCCTTGTCATGCATATTTCAGAGCCTCCATCTCAGTCATGGTTCTGGGGAGAGAAGCCATAATATCTTAAGGCATTCACTGAATATAATGAATTAACTTCATTTCTGTGTATCTAGGATGGTATCAGCTGTGTATTTTGAGAGAACTGAGGAAATAGTCATCAGTCCTTTTCTGTGGTATTTACACAAAATACCCAGATACCCAATTGAAATTTTACAGAGAATCTTTAGTACCAGAGAAAACACTGTCATTTGCTTTTTGAAATTCAAATTCAGCTCTTTCTCCAACCACCAACATCACAGTTGAGACTCTAAGCTGAGGCAGAAAAAAGCTAACCTATTCCTTTCTACATCAATCTCTCAACAAA